CACAGTAACATATTATAAATATATAGACAGTGTCAACCTGTCTCCTTGAGGGTCCTCCTCTTTTTTGCTGCCCCTTTACTCTACCAACCCACCAACCACTCCTCGGAAGGAAGGTTGGGCAATCTACTTCCATAGTGATACTGTCTTGGAAACCCAAGGAGGGGTAGCTATGAGTCAGGTTTGACTCCACAGCACATAACAACAACAACAGAAAGTCTGGAGGCAGACCACTCCCTCAGGAAACTCCCTTTTCAACTGCTTGATCACATTGTATAAGAGTACATTATGGAGGGTGATTACATTATATTATGAAATAGCAACTAGTCTTAGTTATTTGGCCAAACCACTGGGAATAGTTTAGCCAAGATGACACATAAAATTAACCATCACAAGCACCTACTGGGTACCAGACACTAGACTAGACATTGGCGATGAAAACATAAGTCACGGTCTTTGTTGGAGGAGGACCTGTTAGGTATGCCTGGTCAGGGGAAGGGTGAGATGATGACTTTGATCTTGGTTTGACCTTGAAGGACCTTGGTACATGGGGCAGGGGGGAGAAGTCGGGTAGGCAGTTGGGTGTGTGAGTCTGGAGGTCAGGGGTGAGGCCTGGGCAGGGTGTTGATGGTGAATGGAATCCTTGAGGTTGTGGGCAGGGTTGTGATCCTCTAGAGAGAGGAGAGCCCGGAGCCAAGCTGTGAGGAGCAGGGGCTGAGCCTGCGCAGAAGGAGCCGGCCCTTCTGGCAGCACCAGAGATTGGTGCCTTTGTCCCTTGTGTGTCCATGACCAGTGGACCCTCCTGGCTCCTCCACTGGTCTATTCATCATGTGGCTCTCTTCTGTCTTGGTCTCCTGAAGTTCTATGCTCACATCCGTTTTCTCTCACTGGAAGTGATTAGGCATGAAAAGAACTTGTAAGTGGGGAGATTTTTAAAGTCTGAAATCATGTTGCTTCAGTGTTGTTCAGTCATCTGGTTCCGTGGTGACATGCTGGTTCCAAAGCAGAGTAACCCCCCTCCATCATTGCTTGGCTCCTAGACCTTCAGGTTTCTTTTCCCCTCTGACCGTAATAGTTAAGCACCTCTTCCCATGGGAGCCGTAGTTGGAACTGATTGTGGTGGGGGATTTGGGGGCTGGATTTTTGTTCAGCTGTAACGTAATTCTGAATGCCGATAACTCAGTAAATCACCAGCCCTTTCTTCAAGTACTGCTGTCCATTCTGCTGCCTGATATCTGCTCCGTCCTCTTTGGAATGGAAAAATGTGAGTGTGACTCTAGACCCTTCAGTGCAGAGGCGCTTCCTGCCATGTTCCTCCCCTCCTTTCCTTCTTGCACAAGTACTGCTGTGGGCCAGGTACCGTGGCAGGTCCTAGAGGCAAGTGGGAGGCAAGCAGACATGTTCCATGCCCTCAGACATGCAGCCTAGCATGGGGTCTGACAGAAATCAGATTGTCACTGGGTAAGGATAGAATAGAAGTAAGTGTGCTGATGGAACACTCCAGGGGTCTGAGAAACTGACCAGGGAGGGTCGGGACTTTGTTTGGGATGGATCAACATTAATCCTGAGTAGGCGTAGTGCCTAAGGCACTTGACTGGTAACCAGAAGGCTGGTGGTTCAAACCCACCAGCCACTCCTTGGAAGAAAGGTTGGACATTGCCTGGGAAACCCAAAGAGGGAGGGGTCCCTATGAGTCAGATCTGACTCTATGGCAGTGGGCAGTGAGTTTGGGTTTTTTTGGTTTGGTGAAGAGGAATGGATTGTTGTTGTTTGCTAATGACCTATTTTTATTAAAAACAAAGGTCATTGAATATATGTGATAAGATGACCCTTCCCCAGCACCAAGGAACATAATTGCTTTTCAAAGCATACTTGAATAAATGAGCAAGAACCTGGAAGGGGTGGGAACAGCACTGTGGGAACCCCACCTTTTTCTTTTGAATTGTGCATCTCAGTTAAAGTTAAAGGAAGTCACAGTCTCTATTTATTGTCATTGGAAACTGTTAACCAAGCTTTTTTTTTTTTTTGCATTTTTTTACTTTTCTTTTTTGTTGTGGTAAATAACTGTGTACTCAATCTCCCGCCTTTTCAACATCTCCCGTGTGTACAGTCCAGTGGCCTTGGGTGTGTTTATCATGTTGCTCAGCTGTCACCATTATGTTTCCATAGTTGCCTGTCACCCTTAACAGGAGCTCCGTGTCCCCTGAGCAGCGAGTCCCCCCTCCCTCCCTCTGCCCCTGGTCACCACTGTTAGCATTGGTCTCTAGACACTTCCCTGCCCCAGACATTTCTCGCCATGGAACCAAGTGCCATGAACACCTGCCTCTTTGGGCCTTCAGCGGTTCTGACCCATCACCCAAGCATCTTGATTCTAGTACATGTCACAGGAGGTCTGTATAGACATGCCATAGATACTGATTTTCCCCATTAAAAGCTCCACGTTCACCGTGCTGCTGGTTTTACTTTTAAATGGTGTGCGCTAGTGAAGTCAACACTTCCCCTGGGCAACTGCCTCACCGTTGTTGTAGTCTTCAGTCATTAAAATGTAGATTAGGTTCAGAGGAATAGTTGATGACTGATTGATTTATTCTAAACAACTTGGAGTTTTATAGGCTTGTTACTACTTAAGTGAAATATATCCTCCCTTGCAGTCTATCTGGTGAAATCATCAGCACTTACGTCCTAAAACGGCCTTTGGATTGTTACTTTCTTTCATTCGTTCAGCGGTATTTGTTGTGTCCCTACCACGCACCCAGGGCTCTCTGAGCTGCCAGGAATATAGCCCTGGACACTGAAGCACCGACCCCCACGGAGCTCGCTGTCAAAATCGTGACAAGAAAAGGGGCAAGTGCCTCAAGCCTTGGCATCCTCCCTTTGTGTAAATGCTGGCCTTTGTAATGCAATAGCCCTGGGTCTGCCTCTTGGTGGCTTTGTCCACCGTATCTGTCACTTTCCATCTGTAAAGAGGAGGTGACAGCTGGCTTGGTTGTCACAGTGAAATGATGAGGGGGAGGAAAATCCCGTGAGCTGTGGAAGATGCAAACCTTAACAGGGCCAGATGGAGGAACCCCAGGGACCCTTCCACAGAGCAGAAGATGACAGAGTGCCCCTCAGTAGGGTCCTGCTGCCAGGGTCCCACGCAGGGACACCCGACTGAAGGGAACACTCCTTGTCAGGACAGGTCCCTGTGCTCTTCTCCCATGAGGTGGGAGCTGAGTGCCCACCCACCTTCCTCTGCTCCTGCCACCAGCCTGTCCCAGTGTGAGTGCTGTGACAGGTGCTGAGATGACTCCCAGGGCATCCCTCCACTCCTCGGGCTCTAGACCCCTGAGGCCCAGGCCAGCAGGCAAGTCCCTCCCTCCCTCACAAGGGCACTGACAGTTAGGAGGTCAAGCTTCCGGAACAGTGTTGGCACAAAGTAAGCACTTGCTTATTAATGAGCCAATGCATTTCTTGTTAATTAATACATCACCCCTGTTCTGGTTACCTAGTGCCACTCTGACGAGAATATACCACAAATGGGATGGCTTGAACAAGTTTATTCTCTTACGATTTTGGAGGATTTAAGTCTGAGTTCAAAGTGCCAGGCTCTAGGGGGTGAGTGAAAGCTTCTCAACCTTGAGCTTCAGCTCTGCCTCCTGTTTCCAGCCCACTGAAGTTGGAGGCTTTTCTTCACTCAGACAGCTGCTGGCTGCTGAGACCGACAAGCGCAACGTTGACAAGTAAAAAGACACAGTCCTGATGTTACCAACCCACACAGCAGACCATTACTTCAAGTCCCAATGTCCGCAGATCATGGCAAGCTGCTGAACAACGACTTGGCTACATACAGGGTTCAAGCGTGCCATAAGCTAGAGACCGTTCCACAAGGCTTCTCTTTATATACAGGAAGCAGACCACATCCCTAAGGCAGCTAATCAGCTGCTTACAGTAGATTGCACCATGGAATTGATTACCAGTCTCATGATGGGGAATACTACATCCAGCTGCCCAGCCACTCAACCAGGCCCAGCCAAGTTGACACACAAACTTAACCACCACAACTTGTAATGGAATAAAACAAGACAGACTTTTTCAGGAACATCGTCCATAGTTAGAGGACATGCCTGCCCAGCCAAGTGTATGTTCTCTGGGATTGTACATAATTCTCAGCTTCTAAATATGAGACACATCGTGACACCAAACCTCTGTTAACAGTTTCTTCACTTTCCAGAAAAAAAATACATTATCCCCTTCTTAAGCCACTTCCTCAAAACTTCCTCCCCACACACACACACACAGAAAAAGCCCAAACAGAACAAAAAAAATGAACAGCCCACAAAATGGGAATGCGTTTGCTGGCATGACCTGAAGAGGCCCACACAGCGTCATGACTGTCTGCCTTATGTTCACCGTAGTTCGGTATCAGAGGTCCAGGTCCTTGCAGTGATAACCAGCTCAGCCTCTACTGCTTCGTGCCTGATGCATCCACTCAGTTACTAAGTTTATGTTTTAATTGTACGTATTGTGTTGTTGTCAAACAACATGGAGGCAGTGAAGTTTACCAAAAGCGGGCCCTTTGCCCTAGTTACCTGGTGCTGCTACAACAGAAATAGCACGGAGGTGGATCTAACAGACATTGATTTTCTCACAGTCGGGAGGTTGGAAGTGAAGTCATTCCACCAGCTCTGAGGGAAGCTCGCTCTCTCTGTCGACTCTGGGGTCCTTGTCTCTCTCCGCTTCTACTCCTTGGCTCCTTGGTGATCTTCACGTGGCGTGTACATTCCTCCATCTCTGCATTGTTTGCTTTTGTGCCTGACCTGCTCCTTGTCTTCAAAGTGATTGGCTTAAGACAACCCCACACTGATACGGTCTCATTAACATAAAGAAAACCCTATTCCAAATGGGGTAACTTCCACAGGTACCGGGGTTAGGATGGACAGCACATATTGGGGGGCAGGGCACAGCTGTAACACCCGTAACACCCTCCTTTGCCATCAGTCAAGGGTGCTGTCTTGTTGCAGGTGCTGTTTGGCACGGCTGACGGGCAGGTGATCGTCATGGACTGCCACGGCCGCATGCTGGCACATGTCCTGCTGCACGAGTTGGATGGCATCCTCGGCATGTCCTGGAACTGCCCCATCTTCCTGGTGGAGGACAGTAGCGAGAGCGACACTGACTCTGATGACTACTCCCCGCCCCAAGGTAGCACCTGCTCCCTGCTACTGCACCCCTTACCCAGGAGCCAGAGGGCACCAGAACATGCATCCAGTCACTGTTCTTGATCGGCCTGGCTTCTCTCTGCTGTCACTTTCTCAGAGTAGCTGGGCAAGTAGATTAAGTGCCACACACTTAGCTTTCCCTCGGTATGGAGTAAGACTTAGGACCCCTTCTGTGTCCCTGGGGCGTTGTGGGGCTTAGCTGCTTAGGGAGAAGAAAGAGTGAAGATGAAAACGTCAGAGCTGTTAATATAACACAATATGTGGTATCTCCGACCCTAACGCCATCGGGGCCACCATGGCTTTAGTTACGAGAGGAAGGGATTCATTTGACCCGTAATGAAGGCCAGCACCTTGGGCAGAGAGTCTATACCTGCTCTCTGTCTGTCAGGCAGAAGCGACACCATCCCTCAGTTCAGGAGAACCCCTCCCTCTCCGTAAGCCCCCCAGCGGTGCCCCATGACGTGGCATCAGACTGTTTGAACATTTAGGCGGTGACAAAGGATTATTTCGATTCTTGGTGGAAGTGTTTTCAGACTCCAGCCCCTGCCCCAGCAGCACTTTGTCCCTCCAACAGAACATAAAGGACCAAGCGGAAGTTGGCCGTTTGCTTTGGTGTCTCTCACCAGTGTCACTACCTGACATGCCCCCCAGGGCTTCAGTCTTCGCCAGCATCCTACCCCCTGCACCCTTGTTGTTGTAAGAACAGCACATTAGGAAAAGAGTGCAAGGAGAGAGACTAATGGTTCAAAGTTAGCACACAGCTGCAGAACCCGTCCCCAGTGCCCACAGCCGAGCTCACAACTGGGTGAGCACCTCCCCATCTACCATCCGGGGTGCCCTGATGCAGGCATGTGCTCCTGCAGGGCTGACCCTGGGCAGTTCCAGCGTTGTTTCCCCACCTGCGTCTGCCTTCTCTGGATTTGGGATGCTCTTGGTTTTCTTTTCTCTTCTGTCACAGAGGACACCATGCCACATTTCCCAGTGATTGATTGGTAGATCGATCAATAGTCTGTTTTGCTTTGCTCTTTAAAGTAGAAGGCCATGTTTAAACATGAGAAAAAGAATTTGATCGGTGGGAGTGTTTCAGGATCAGAAGGTCTTGGGAAGGGAGTGTCCCTCCTACCCATCCATCCATCGGTAACTGCACCCTTTCCTGACAGGACGCATCCTGAGTTAAGTGTTGATTGTATTTCTAGAGCCTCCAGGGGCTAAAGCCAGTGTCTGTGTATCTGACACTGGACGCAGCAGACTTTGGAACAGAACCCTCCTGAAGTAGGTGGACCGCAGATTTGCTCATCCCACACTGTCACTCTAAGACACAAGGTCCAGAGATGAAGGTGACAGTGCAGGTCTGGGTGTGTCCCAGGATGGCACTCAGTCCCTGGCTGCGACTCTAGCCTGTTCCTCTTCTCAGGAGCAGTGGGGTGGTTAGAGAACAGCAGAGGTTCACCTCTCAGGTACAGCAGGTGTTCTCCTCGTGGCCTGGGGACCTAGAGCCATCAAATGAAGTGCAGGTCTTTGGTGGGCAAGGCTGAGTTAGGTGAGGGGGGCGCATCAGGCAGGCCCCGTGGGAGGCTGCCTGAGGACGCGCTCAGGGAGGGTGAGAAGTTCTTCAGAGATCTTTGAGAAGAGTACGAGTACCCCCGACACGAAGGCAGGATGTGCTTTTAGCTCTTTTATATAGCGTGAAGGGGTCTAGTGCACGGTCCATAACAGCACTGGCCTTGAGATCTGGGTGCTCCCTCCTGAGCCCAGAAAGCAGGATTTCCCTGAGGCTGGCTGCCCCTGGAAGTAGAGCTCACTTCTCCACCAGCCCCATCCGTTCCAGCCTCTGCCCACTTACCAGCTGGGGTCTCTGATGGAAGAGCTAACTCAAAGGGTACTAACGGTGGCTCCCCGGAGGACTCATTTCCTGTAACGTTCAGGGAACGAGCACTTGTGTTGAACAGCAACTTTTCTGTACAAAAAAGGTATGTTGAACCAGGAATGAGAATACATGTCATCCCTCTTACCATCAATCATGTGTAAGAACACTGCATGACATGAAAATAACTCACATTTCTGGATCATTAGAAACACGTAGGTTAATCAGCTTTTCACACAGATTCTCACCAGCCACCAAAGACCCCAGCAGCCCCACTGACATCAGCCAGTGCCTCCAGGGCTTTCTCTACCAGGTCCTGACTCATCCCGAGCTCTGTGAAAAGAACCCCTTTCCAGTGGCCCTGTGGTTCTAGAACAATGTGGAACGCCTGCCTGGCTTGTGGCATCCCAGGCCCATTTGAGCCGCGCTCTGGACAGCTTTTGCAGCAGTGTGCAGGCAGACAGCATTATGGTCATGGATCTGGGTCACGTGCTCACGGCCTTCTTTCACTCGGCACCTTGTCCCACAGATGGCCCGGCAGCATACCCCATCCCAGTGCAGAACATCAAGCCGCTGCTCACCGTCAGCTTCACCTCGGGAGACATCAGCTTAATGAACAACTATGACGACCTGTCCCCTACTATCATCCGCTCAGGCCTGAAAGGTACAAAGAACCCGCAGGTCAGCCATGCATGTCTGCCTTCTGGGCTGGGGGTCTCCCACCAGCACGGTGATCCATGTCTCTTGCAGTGAGCCCGTCTGTGCTTCATGGAGCCGGTTCACGAAGGCCACTCCCCTCAGCAAGTTTGCCTTCCTGGCAGGTCGCTACCTAGTCTTGCTCTGCTATTCAGTCTTTGTCGGTCTGTGCCCTTTCTCTCGTGGATACTGGTGTGATTGTCTCTTGGGCGTACAGGACATGCCTGGGCCTGCCGTGAGCTGACTGCAGCACCTGTCAGTCCAGAAGGCAGCAGAAGGTGCATAGAACGTCTTTGCCAGAGAACTCTGTGTTGTGAGTGTGGTGGGCTGAGTGAGGAACTGGTTGTGGTGCAGTCATTCACCCTGAAGGACGTGGGGACGTTCACATTTGTACCCCGAGGCATCAGTGTGAAGGTTGCTGTCAGGTGCTGATGCCTACCTGGGTGATGTCGTGAACTTTGGCTGTGTTGGGAGAAAGCTGGTGTGCGGGACCACCTGGAGAGTTCTGAATTTGGCCATTCAAAGACACTCCGAAGGCTGTGGCCCTGAGGAGATCTTTGGAAAACAGTCCCATCTATTCAGGCTGAGGGAAGCAATGCAGGCAGTTTTAAAAATTCAATTCCTGGTCTTCCTCGGGTCCCTGATGTGAAGGGCCCTTCTGTAATGGGATGGGGGCTACGGACTTCTGGAGAACAGGAGAGGGGCAAGCCTGCACCTTCAGCACAATGTGTGCCTGTCATTCAGAAAGGACCATCAGCTCATGAGGTATCACCATGTGCTTGTTCATCAGGCGGGAGTTACTCAGCAATCACAGTGATAAAAAGGATCAAGTTCAAGTACACCACTGTTGGTTGGCAGGAATACATCCTGCCTGCCTCCTTACCTCACAAGTGTTAATCTGTTTTAAACTATAGAATGTCTTTAGAGACCACTTTCTCTCCTTCTTTTGGGTAACCCATTCTGCTGTTTCAAAACTATAATTCTGTGCAAATGTTTGGTCTGTAAATTCCTAAGGGACATGAACTACAAAGAAGTCCCTCTTTCTGCCCAGGTGATCCCTGTGGAGCTGAGTCCTTTTTGTGAGGAGCGTTAACATGAATTCTACGCTTCCTGCATGTCCATCTTTCATGGAACTAAAACAAAGATGGTTGTCGTAAATTCTCCCCTAAGGTTGCAGCCCGGGCTTGATTTTTGTCCTTCAGAGACCCTGTTTTCAAACCTCGTAATCAAGTCTATTAATTTATTGGAACCTACTTCTAATTTCAGAGCCCTGGACTCTGTCGTCTACTGAATGAAACCACATCATCACCCTCAGTTCTCTTTCATCTTTTGTGCGGTGACTTTTTCTGATTTTTCATGATTCTGTTTATGGAAACTATTTTTCATTCCTTCCTTGGTTATATTATTTCTTATTTTGTTTATCAAATTCATTTGTATCTGGGCAGTTATTCTGATGTAGTCCCACCAAATGAACAGGAGAGGGATAGGGACACAGATCGGGCAGCTAGAGTGGAGGCAAGATTTCTTGACTCGAATTTTTATCCTAAAAATTCAGGAAAATAAGGAGGCCTGGTGGTACAGTAGTTAAAGTGCTCAGTTGCTAACTGAAAGATCAGCGGTTCAAACACACCAGCAGTTTCACAGAAGAAAAAAGCTGGAGATCTGGTCCCCTAAAGATTGCAGCCTAGGAAACCCTCTGGGGCCGTTGTCCTCTGTCCTATAGGATCACTATGAATCAGAATCAACTCAGTGGCACAAAACAGCAGCAGTCAATCATTGACTAGAATGTTGCCGTCTGTGGGTGGCACAGTTTATGCTTGACTGCTGAGATTCCAGCCAAGAAGACCCTGGGGGCAGTTGACCTCTGACACACATGGGGTCCTCATGAGTCAGAATCGACAACAGCTGACAACAGTGCAGTCCGACAACAACACAAAGTCAGTAATTGCCTCTCCTAATCTAAAAGTGGGAGCTCTGGTAGCATAGTGGCTAAGACACTTGCCTGCTCACCAGAAGGCTGGCAGTTCAAACCCACCAGCCACTCCTCGGAAGGAAGGTTGGGCAATCCTACTTCCGTAGTGATACTGCCTCGGAAACCCAAGGAGGGGTCGCTATGAGTCAGGGCTGACTCGACGGCACATAACAACAACAACAATCTAAAAGTGTTTTCACGGATTTACTTTCATGGCAAGAGCTGTTTCTTCAGAAAGTTAGGTTGAATAGAGATTGGTACCATGCATTGGTGCCCTTTCATGTAGACACTTTCTCTGCATTTCAAAATATGTCAGGGACCCAGGCTTCCACGTGGCATGAGGAGCAGGAGTTTGGGGTTTTGTTTTGTTTTCTTTTTCTTTTAAATCCACTACTTTATAAACAAGAAACTGTTGGTACAGTGCTTAAGATATTTGATTGCTAACTAGAAGGTCAGTAGCTCAAGCCCACCAGTTACTCTGCAGGAGGAAGATGAGGCAATCTACTTCCATGAAGATTTACAGATTTACATAGTGGGTCACTATGAGTCAGAATTGACTCGATGGCAGTGGCTGGGTGGACTTTTTGAACCATGTTTGTCAGTGGTGGGAAGAGATGGCCGGAATGTCATCAGCGGTGGGAAGAGATGGCCGGAATATCGTCAGTGGTGGCAAGGGCGGGCAGCCTTCCAGTGATAGTGGCCCCCTGAGCATAAAGGGAGCATCGCTGGAAGGGTGTCTGTCTTCCTCTGTCACTGGGTCAAGGTAATGCTGCTGGAGAACTCTTCAGTGAGGAAAGGTGGGACGGAGTAGTCTTTAGTTTGTCACCAGCACTGTCATTTATGTCATGAGTGAAAGAACTTAGAATTCCAAACAGCTCTGGGGCCCACGGCCAGTCCGTTGCTCCACCCTTCAGCCCCCCTCTTCTTTGCAGAGTCATTGCAGGGGCAGGGGGGGGTCGGTTTGCTTTGCAGTTGATTGCTGAAGAAGTTCAGCCTTGCAAAAAAAAAAAAAAAAAAGCCTACTAAGTACCCCAACTTTGGGGACTTGTGTTTCCCACACAGTTCACCTTCTTTGGGGCTTTCACTCTTGTTGTGCCTCTTGCTCTTCTTTGAGCAAGGGGCACCTGGCGGGGCTGGCGGGGCACCTGGCGGGGCTGGCGGAGCAGCTCATTGTCTCCCATTTGCCTTCAGGTCAGAGCATCTGCTGGGTTTCCTTGTTCACTTGCTTTGCAGAATGTCCTCTCTGATGCTGCACTGAGCCCGAGTAGATCGGGGGGAGGCTTGAGGTGGAGAGCTTTGGTTCAGGGTGCTGTGGCTGTGGCCCCTGACATTTGGGCCAACGGAGCTTTGTCCCAGGTGTCATCATTGAAGACATGGCCATCTTGTTCTCAGTCTCGACTGTACTCACTAAAATATCTCTTATTTTTTAAAAAATGAGCAGTTGTTTTACCATCTCACACACAGTTAGCTAATTTATTTGTTTCTTGGTTTCTCTTCCCTTCTTTCACTCTTTATACACATGCACAGCTAACTACACTTAAATCTAAGGACTGATTCAGAGTGAACCATTAGCATGGAAATTTCATGAAGGTCTGGATCAACCTTGGATCCCAGGTGGTAGCTCCAGGCTGTGTTTTGTCTGGTGAGAGCGCTGTTTGTTCCCCATCGAGCTTCGCTGCCTCTTTCTTCCTCAGCATTGGTACCACACCAGAGGCTCGTCGTGAGCACAGGGAACCTCATTGGCTCATCACTGACCACGGAGAACGTTTGCATCCTCCATGCTTTTACCCAAAACAGATGCAGGAGATAGAGCAGGGTCATTGTGCTGATTTTCTTTCTGTAAAAGCTTTAAAAGATCAAAAATACACCCACCAATGAATCATTGATAAAAACGGGTGCTTCAGGAGGATGGGCCCTGTTTATACCCTGGCCCCCCACATCCCCACATCCCCATCCCCTGGTGAGAAACCTTAAAGACCTCAAGCTAAGAGCTTCAGGGAAAAGAGAAGGCTATTGAAGGAAGCATTGGGCTGTTCCTTGTTGGTTATATTCTAAAGCACAAGTGGAGAGATTCACACAAATAAAATTATGCCTGCAACACTGGACAAAGGTACTGGGAATTATTTTTAAAATAAGAAAGGCAGGCATAGTTTACAAGACATTTCTGGGAGAGAGATGAGGGTTTCTCTGCTGACCACGTGCAGGCTTCCATATCCTTTTCCTCTTCTTCTTCACAGTGACATCTGTAAATGGGTATTTGCTTTTCCTTTCACTTTTCCTACTGATTTATGAACATTTCCAGCTCCCACCCCAGGACATCAGTTCCTGTGGGACGGCACTCCCTTGCTCCTGGTTGACTGATGTTGAGCAATGAAAGGTCACTGTGCGGGGACTGCTGAGATCCAGTTACCCTTAGGAGGCCCTGGGCAACACAGACTGTGTGCTCGGCTCCTAACCAAAAGGCCGGTGCTTTGAGTCCACCCAGAGGCACCTTGGAAGAACGTCTTGGTGGTCTGCTTCCGAAAAGTCAGCCGTTACAACCTCTATGGGCCCTGGTTCTACTCTGGCACACGTGGGGTCGCCGTGAGTCAGGGTTGACTTGACCCCAGCTGCTGGTGGTAGTAGCTCCCTGGGGCGAGGTGGGCCCATGCTTTGGATCATGATTGTTTTACGAGACATGTCAGAGGGGCCACATCCTGATACTGCACATCCCATGATCGTCCAAGCAGACAATGACATCATTATTACGGTATTTATTCTTCTTAAAGGAGTAACTTACCTTTGTAGGTGACACCTGTCTCAGGAGAACTTTATAACTGCACTGAAGAGACCCCTGAAAACTTGCCAGCAAACTTTGGGGTCCTTCCCTCAGGCCACATGGTGAGCAGCACTGAACTGATGGTGCCATTGGGTCACCCCGCAGCCTTAGCCCCCACTCATTGGCTCAGAAAAGGCATCTTGGGATGAAATTCAAGGAACCTTTCTTTCTTAAAATG